GGGCGGGGGGGGGGTCCCTAAGCCACAGCAGTGACCTATCACTGAGGAGAAGAGAAGAGTGTGGAGGGTGTGGGACTGAGCCTGGAGGGCCCGGGATGGCGGGTGAGGGGCCCAGGTGAGTCAGCAGGAAGCAAAGAAAGTGAGGTCAGTGAGTCCCAGGTGCCACCTCTCAGAGCCAGGAGAGGGAGGACCGGTACAGGCAGCAAACCAGACTTGATTGTTTCGCTTCCCTGAACACAGCATGACCCTGACCCTGACCCCCAACCCCGACCCTGACCCCGACTGCAATAGGTGGCAGGGGACAATGCCTTTCGAAACACCCGCCGTGTTGGGTCACCTAGAGGTCACCGTGCCTCCTGGTTTGTGCAGGTGCCGGAGAGATGACTGAGCAGGGCCTTCGCACCTGGGGCCAGAGCGCTCCGACACAGGGCTCTGCGGGAGAGCCAGGGCTTCCCCGAGGGCCTCCGCAGCTCCCCAGGCCCCCAGATGCAATGGATTCCGTCTGTTTAAGAAGGCCTCGCAGACACAGCTTTCGGGGATGCAGCTGTCAGGAGAGAGAAGCTGTGTGTGGTACAGAAGCATGGCTCACACATGTAGATATGTGGGGGCTCGTGGGTGCAGGTTTAGAAGATGGGAGGTAGGTAGGTAGGTAGGTAGGTGGATAGGTAGGTGGACAGAAAAAACAGGGAGCTGTGTTCATTGCAGGGTGTGTCTTTGTCCCCGGAGGGCATGTGGGGTGGTGGTATGTGTGCATCTAATATTGTGTATGAGATCACTGTGCGGGTATTGATTCTGCGTTCAGCCAGTGTGTGGATTGTGGGGGTGGCATAAGTTATGATAAATGACAGTATGTGTTTCTGGAGTATAGCTACACTCCTAAGAGTGGATGAGCAAATAACACAAAATGAGGTTGGAAGTAGGAGGAGATGGTGTGTGCTTGCAGGTCTAAATATGGACTGAACAGCTTTTGGCATGTATGCGTGCATATCCTGGGGCCCACATGCGTGTGTGTGTGTGTGTGTGTTTCCCCACTGGGTCTGTGTGTTTGTAGGCTGTGCTATTTCTATTCCCGCCTGTTGCTTCTCTACAGGCTCCCGCGGGTGGGCGTGCCGTAAGTGTCTGGAGAGGGTTGACTTGGTCCTCCTCCTAAGCAGGCCAGAGCCCAGCCTGCTCCGGCAGGGGTAGCTCAGTGGGAGGAGCACCCTGTCCTCTCTTCCTTCTGTCTTCCCTCCGGACTCATTTGCCAAGCCCTGGCCCGGCCCAGGAAGGCCCACTAGGTGTGGGCTGGCTGCCCGAAGGCTGTGCCATGGCCCTGGAGGGGCCCAGTTGGCCCACTGCCTTTGCACCCCCTCCCACCACTGAAGTGGCCCATCCAGCCGGGGGCCCCTTGCCTCACTCAGATGATAAGAAGGCATTTATCATAGAACCCCCCAAACCAGAGCCGGAAGGGGTCGCAGAAATGCTCTACTTCATCCCTCTCACATTTGCACAGAGGGACCGGGGGCTCAGAGAGGTTAAGTGACTGGGATGGGAGTCACACAGCACTTTGAGGCAGGACTGTGTTTTCTGATTTGCATACCCACGACTATTCTCCCTTGGGTGGGTCGTTGGGTCCTGTGTGCAAAGGCTTGGGTGTGAGCTGTGTGAGAGATCATCAATCAGGGCCTATGTGTGTCAGTGTGTCACTGAGCATGAGTGTGTCTCCGGTGAGCCCCGTGCGAGCGTGTCCCCATCTGTCTCAGATGCGCTGGGAGGCAGGGAGGACGTGCCTGGGAGTCGGGACGTGCCCGCCTGCCTGCCTGGCTCTGCTTCCCATTCTCCACGTGACCTCGAGTGGGCACTTCCCTGCCCTGGGCCTCAGTCTCCTGAAATGTAATATGAGGCTTGGGTCCTCTCGGTCCCTGTGACCCCGTGTGTGAGGCACTGACTCAAGAAACACCTCGGTCTCTGTCTCAGCCCCAGCAGAGCCTTCCGGGTCGGGTGGCTGTGTCAGGGCCTGGGTGGGCGTGGGCACCTTGACCCCATCAGTCTCCTTGGAGCCCTGTCCTTGGTATCCTCGCTAACCGCCCTCCTTTCTCTCTCTCCCTGCCGCGCCCCTTCCTGCACCTGCTGGCCCGCAGAGGAGCACCCCATGGAAGGTGAGTGGGGCTTTGGCTCACTGAGTGGCGGATCAGTTGTGTGGGGGCCTATGTGAGGGGGTATCGTCGGCCACCCAAGGGCTCCCTCCCCTGCCCCTGCCCCGGGAAGGATGTCTGGGCACCCCCTTGGCGGCCTCGGCCCCACCTCTGGCCCAGTCCCTCCTCATTGGGTTGCCAGGCAGAGGGCAGGCCCTTCCACTTGCCCGTCTTCAGCGCCAGTCTGTCCACTGGCCTTTCTTCTTCCTTAGGGAGGAGACGGGTCTTGAGCGGAGGGATGGGGCTGGAGGATTCTAAAGCGCCCAGAGCGCGTGAGGAGACACTGCTTTGCCCAGCCCAGCCGAGGAGGCTCAGGAAAGCCCTGCAGACCGGGCGGGCGGGGCTGGGAGCGCCTGGGTACCATCTGGTCCTGGGTCTGGAGAGTCCAGCAGAGGGTGGGGGCTGTCCCGGGCCAGGGAGTGGGTAGGGGCAGCTTCCCTGGTCTGACTGACACTGCAGCAGGCCCCTGCCCCAGCCCCTGCCCTGCCCTGTGGGCTGGTAGGTGGGGGTGGCCTGCCTCTTCCTTCAGCCCAGGCCACGGGCTCTCTCTGGGGTCTCTCTCCACCCTGTCCCTGTCTTCTCTTCCTGTTGCCTTTTCTCTCTCTGGTGTTTCTCCAGGGCTCTGTCCCGGGGCCTCTGTCTCTTGTTCCTGTCCTCCAGGCTCTCTCTGGGATCCCGTCATTCTCTGAACCTTACCTCTTCTCTCTCTGGTGTTTCTCCAGGGCTCTGTCCCGGGGCCCCTTTCTTTATCTCTTGTTCCTGTCCTCCAGGCTCTCTCTGGGTTCCCGTCATTCTCTGAACCTTACCTCTCGGTTTGGTTTTCCCTGTTTCTTTTTCTCCTCCGGGTGGACCAGGTCAGGGAGAGGGGAGACTGGTTGGATGCCCAGGCGGGGAGGTGGGCTGCTGGGGAGCTCCTGTGGCCACCGAGAGGCAGGCAGCAAGGAGGGGGGTGGCACCCCAGCTACCACACCTGCCGCGCTGTGTTCTCTTCCTGGAGAAGCAGCAGGAGTGGGAGGGACACAGACGGCCCTGGGATGGGAGCTCCCTGGGCCCGGACCCTGCCCTGGGAGGCACAGGGGACGCGGGAGTCCGGAGAAGGAAAGCAGGGAGGGCTCTCGGCCGAGTGTGGGCTGGGATCCGTGGTTCCTTGTGGTGCCCACAGTTTGGCCGGTTTCTCTGGGTGAGGTCTCTTCTCTGTGGATGCCCTCAGGTCCCCTGGTCCTGGCCTGCAGGCGCCCGTGTGTGTGTGATTGTGTGTGTGTGTGCATACACACATGTGCATACAGCTCTTTGTGCACGTCTGCACATACATGCTGTGCATGTGCGTCTGCGTGTGGCGGTGTGGCCTCCATCGCCGTGTCTTCGTGGCATGGCCCACATCACTGCCCCGAGGAGTGTCTGCATCTGTGTCTGCATCTGTCCTCTCCGTGTCTGCGTCTCCGTGGCAGTGTTTACCTCTGCGCGTGTGAGAGAGCCTGCGTGTCTGGTGGCCGCAGCCTTCTGAGGGCTGGAGATAAGATTTAGTGCTGATGTGACTTTTACTTGCTCTTGATGTCATGTCTCCTCCGGAACAAAGGGAGAGATGAAGGGAGGAAGGGAGAGAAAAAGGGTGGAGGAGAGAGGCTTGGGGGGTGAGGGCTGGTCCAGGAGAAGGGGGGGCGGTAAGTAGAGGTGGGAAGAGGGAGGACACTCATGGGGGGAGGGGCAGAGAGGCTTGAAATGGGAAGGGAAACGGCCAGAGAAGCAGGCAGGGCTGCGGCGGGAGAGTGACTGGGCCGAGGGGAGAGAAGGGAGCATCTTTTCCAGCAGGTGGGCCAGGCAGGGGCGAGAAGGGATGCTGGGCTTTGGAGACTGGAGTCGGCTGAGACCCGTGACGTCACCTGGCCATTTCTTGGGGGCGGCACGGGAGTCTGCTGGATTGGATGTGACGCGGCGTGACATGCCATGTCAGGGGTGTGTGCGTGTGTGTGCGTGTGTGTGTACATACCTAGTGTATGATGCTTCTGTGTGTGTGTCTCTGTGACATGTCTGCTCGTGTGTCTCTCCAAGCTTGTCCCTGTAGCCGGCTCCCTCCTTTCGATGCTGGCCCTCTGGGGTGTCGGGAGGAGAGGAGGCAGTGAGACAGTGGGAGGTGGGTTTGCAGGGGGTGGTTAGGCCCCTTTGCGGCACTACGCTCTGGACTCTGAGGTTCCCCCTTCAGGTCTGAGTCCTCCGTGCCTTCCCCCTCTTTTCTCGCCGCTGGGTGCTGTGTCTCAGGCCCAGCTTTCTCCCAGGAACCCAGCCATCCTGCTCCCAGCCTCCTGCTGAGCAGCTCCTTTTGGGGGA